CAGCGACACAGTCCACAGGCTAGGCATCCCACAGGTAGTGTAGCCTGTAAATTGAGGCACAGAACAAGCAAGGCAGCCGCACACTGGTCCGATGATCAAAGAGCGAGAAACAAGAAAGGCGAGGCTCACAGAGCCATTTATCTCTCCGCCCTTCAGTCAATCCCGCTTGTGTTTATCGGCCAGGCTGGCACAATAAACTATCTCACATCCGTTCCTCCTCCGTCTTCTTTGTTCAATGTCCTCACATGCCTCACAGAAGGCGATGGAAAATACCGTGGCTTGGGTCAGGTGCACCTTAGTCCTCAGAGTAACATCCTTGCGTTTCAATTCTCCAAAGAGGTCCTGTGCAGCAGGTAAATCTGCACAAGTGAAATACTAGCCATCTCCAAAATGCTTTAGTGATCATCTCTGGAGAAGGACATCATGCTTAGTGAAGAACAGGAGCAGAGAAAAGGCCATTAGCTAGCTGGGCGGATACCGTGGCTGCAACAGCTTGCTCAAGCATAACAATTGTTTCATGCTGTGCACAGGTCCTCTATGAGCCAGAATGCACTTGATGGTACCTAACAACTAGGGGGTACCAGGCTGAGGTGTTAATGTTTATCTCCTACGCAGGGGCTTCAAGAAAAAAAGTTTATGTTGACTGAAATTGAAAGATAATTTAGCCCCCTATACAAGTCTCACGACAACCCCAGTACAAGGATTATTACCAGTATTATTACCAACCTCACTTCATAGGGGGGGAAAAGTGGTGGTGATTTCAACCCACAGTGGTTACACTGTGTGTTAAAGAATAGAAACTGCTGTTACCTGTCAGAAGCAGGTCACCAGGCCTTTCTTCCTGGTGTGTTTGAACCACTAGCCTTTTAGTGAGTGGCAAAGCAATTAGTTGTTTGCACCCCAGTGGAACTTCAAACTCATGCAAACTAGGGGTTAGGAAATATAGGGATGCAAAAAATTATGTTAGTAACTCAGGCACACAAATCGTAGTAGAGAGAAAATTTGGACCCAGACAGAACCTGTTAGCCACCATCTATATTTCTAGCCTCCAATTCTCCAACTCAGTGGGTTACCATGTATGCTAAGACTAAAGAATACCTTTGTCCACCTCATCCAAAGATCCCTACCGTTCTACATCTCCCACCTCCCATTCCCCATAAAAGATAAGGAGGATGCCTTCATCACGAGCTCTTCTGAGATATCTAGGTTTTTTTATCGTTTTAATAGGGGCTCATACGACTCTTATCACAATCCATACAAACATCAATTGTGTAAAGCACATTTGTACATTCGTTGCCCTCATCATTCTCAGAACATTTGCTCTCCACTTAAGCCCCCGGCATCAGGTCCTCGTTTTTCCCCCTCCCTCCCCCCTCCCCCCTCCCTCATGAGCCCTTGATAATTTATGAATTATTATTTTGTCATATCTTGCCCTGTCCGACG